ACCTTTACTTCAGACCCATTTGCTATAAACCTGAGATTCCCACAAAACCCTCCTTGGTTTTTATTCATTTGCTACAGTGGCTCACAGGACATAGGAGAACAGTTTACTTATTGTTCACCAGTTTATCCTAAACAGACATGGTAAAGAATACAAATGAACACCCGGATGGAAGAGATTCATAAGGCAAGGCCCGTTGGAAAGGCCATGGAGCTTCCATGCTCTCTCTCGGTGAACCACTCTCCCAGCACACCTAAGTTCCCCAACCCTGAAGCTATCTGAACCCCATACCTTTGTGATTTTCATGGAGGCTTTACCACATGAGTATGTTCCATCATTAACTCAGTTTCTAGCCCTCTCCCTTCCTGGAAAATAGGAAATAAGGTTGAAAGTTCCAAAGTTTTAATTATGGCTTGGGCTTTCTGGTGACCAGCCCCAACCCTGGTGCCCACCATGCATGGCCTCATAAAAACAAAATATCCTATTACCTAGGAAATCCCAAAGGATTTAGGGACTCTGCGTCAGAAACCAGCATCAAAGTCCAGATGTTAGAACAAAAAAGTTCTTAGTGCTCTTATTACATAAAAAAATACAAGGGTTTTGTTTTAATGCATAACTTCTTTAAGTCTGAAATTATTTAAAAATAATGTTAAAGAAAATAAAAATTTCAATGCTCAAGTCATTTACATAGCTACCCACCTCAACCTCATTTCTTTCTATTTCACTCTTTTTTAGCCACACTTTACCCACACACTTTCTACTTTCACTTTTTTTATCTCTTCACCTCTAATCAGTTTTTTACTCAGTTTAATCTACCATCAGTGCAATAAAGTAACTTTTGCTCTGGCTATGAATAAATATTTGTTGCTCTAAAATGAACATTAATCAATATCTGTTTGCAAACAATTCACATATATTTACTCTAGAATAAGCCTTTCTCATGAAAGCCTGACTGATACACCCAACTGCTGACTTGGCATTAGATTCAAAATAGCAATTTTATGATTTTTACTCATTTTTCACAAATCTGTACTTTCCCCATGTTCCCAAAATGCATCTACACAGTTAAATAAGCCAGATATGGAGATGAGATTCTCAATCGTACTTTCTCCCTCATCTCCCTCCCATACCTAATCCATCCAAACTGTGTCTCCTTGAAATATTTCAAATTCTCCACTTTCCCCACCTCCACTGTCACCACTTAGTCACCATCAAATCCCATTAGGCTTCACAAAATGAATGCCTTACTTGTTTCTGTCACTCATCATTAACCTCTCAAATTTCCTTTCATAAACAGAACAATCTTTTGAAATCAGACACGTGACTGTAAATCCCTCTTACTTTCTAGATGAACATATCTCGTGGCATACCATTGCTCTTAAGTAGATGTGAACATATTTAAACCTTTTTACAGTTCCCCTCATGGGTAACCACTAGTCATCTTTCTTGATTAACTTCTCTTTGGTCTCTGATTTCTACAAACATAGACTTTTCTTCAGTGTATTCAAAAAGTGTGTGCTCTTACATGAAACATGATGTTTACATCATCAAATTATGAGGTCTTATTACCATCTCCTTAGGGAAGTCTCTCTGATAATTATAAAGTATGAAAGAACATATGTGGAACCTAATGAACAAAATAAAGCAATGAGCAAAATAGAATCAGAGGCATAGAAGCATGGAACAGACTGAGAAATCTCAGAGGGAAGGCAGGGGGTGGGGGTA